CCCTCAGCTCTCTTCTCTCCTCCCTTCCCCTCTCTCCCCTCCCCTCCTCTCCTCCTCTCCTCTCCTCTCCTCCTCTCTATCCCATTTCTATCACAGTCATCAAAGTGTTTGGAGAACATCATCAATGTTTTGAAGAAATTATTATATTTGAAAACTAAAACTAATGCTTGGTACCTATTTTCATTGTAAAAAAATAAATGAGTACATTCACCTAACACGCAGCCACAGTTTAAGTTTATGTACTCATTTCTCTAACTCATATTAAGCAGTATTTGACTCTGTGGGATGTTCATAGACTGCCACTAAGAATCCCTGGGTTCTGTTTTTAATTTTAGTTTCTTGAACTTAATAACGAAGTCAGCACTTCTCTTGATTAAGAAATGTCCACATCTGTGAAATAAACCTGGTTTCATAGATTTTGTACTACTCTCACGTTGGCTTTTACTTCGGTGAAATATCAACCAAGTTAGTAAACGTTTGTTAAATGAAAGGATGAATGAATAAGCTATCTCTCCTTATGACAATGTACTTTTTTTTTTGTCTTTTTGAGACAGGGTCTCCTTGTAGCCCCAGCTGTCCTGGAACTCTCTATGTAGACCAGGCTGGCCTCGAATTCACAAAGATCTGCCTGCCCCTGCCTCCCGAGTGCATGCGCCACCATGCCTGGCTGACACTGTACTTTTAATGTTTAGAAATACATAGAAAAGTGACCCTTTCCTATGAAAGGAGTCTAATTGTGCTCACAATGCATCACTCTGCCTGCATCTAATGATGCACCTGCAATAGAATGGACGACTGCGTTCCCTGCCCCAGGACTGCTCAAAGCTCTCCTATGGCACAGAGTAGGACAATTTGAGGCTTCAGAGGGAGAGGATCTTATTAAAGGCTAAATAGGAATGACAGGGGTGAAGGAGGGTCCTGATGCCTGGTCAAAGTCCTTTCTTGAAAGGAGGAGAAGGGGAAAGAGAAATAGGCAGATCTCAGTGCCACTGGCTGCCTTACTGCTGAGGTCTATAACCTGCCCCAACCTTTCTTAGGGCAAAAGGAGCTTGTATCAGCTACACAGTCCTAAGACTTGGGATTAATAGGGAAGGATAAAGGAGAAAACTGGGGGTTTTCTGTTCTCAAATGGCTCATTTGGGCCATGAGGTTGCCTTTCATTTTGGCTAGGCAATGAGACCATGGAAGCACCCTGCAGCAGATCTGAAGAGGCAAGAAAAGCTAGGTGAACTGTTTTGTGGAGAAGGCACTTAGTCAACCCCTTTCCTCACTTTATTCCTTTCCCTCATTTTCCTGACTTTTCTCCCTCTTTCCACCAGAGGTAGCCCATGGCTCTCCCAAGCAACAGTAGACATTATTCACACATGCAAAAGGCCTCCCCATTTCTGGATCCTGGGGACTGTAAAATATTAAGGAGAAAAGAGATAATAAAGGTAAATATCCAATATTTAGCCATTGTTGATGCTCTGGAAACATTATTTGAACCTAAATGCCCTATCAGAGCTCAGAGGACACTTTACCCCATTAACAAACGGAAGCAGAAAACTCCCCAAGCTAATGACATACATGGCCACAGGGCTTTTGGGTCTCAGCCCATGATTTCTTTTACTCCTTTCTTTCTTTCTGCCCACATCTCTTGCACTGCTTTCCTGTTTTGTGACTCCCCTGCCCCAGAAGTCTGGAGGGCTCAACAGCCCTTGCCTAGGCTCCCACTCCTTGCTGAGGATCAGCTTGGCAATGCTGTACTGACACCCACTCCACTTTCCTCCAGGCAAAAAGCACACGTTTAAAACTCATTATCTGGCTAAGTATAAACCTCAGGGGGAGAAGCGTTTTATTTTTGTTTGGCTCAGTCTACAAGTTAACGTTGAGCTGCCTTTTCAGAGACCAGGCGAATAGCTGTTTGGCAGGTCACCACCGAGAAAGTAATTCTCTAAGCACTGAAACAGAGCTCTATATGTAAAATATTGATCCCCTAGGAGAACTCCTCTCTCTCCCACACAGACACGCTAGTGTGCATGAGCACCCCATTCTGCACAGAAAGCATTTCAGCTAGCAGCCCGCTTATTTGGCACCAGTCCTGTAGCAAGAAACACCACGAACATACAGACAAGTATGGTCCGGACAAATAAGGTCCTGGAAGAGTCTAGACCCCTACTTGGGAATCTGGCATGAGGTTTCCCTGAATGGCTAGGTCACTGTCCTTATGCAGTGTGCAGGTGAGGGAGGAAGAGTGAAAGAGATCAGTCAGAGCAGCCCGGGGTCAGAGGAGTTTCGGTGGGCCAGGCTTGTGGTGGGCCGCCTACAGGAGAAAGCCCTCTTCAGAAGGAGCTTCTTCCGCTGACAGTGGGGTTGGAGAAGGAGTAGTTCTAAAGCAACTGACGCAGCTGGGAACTGAGCTCTGCAAAGCCTCCGGCAGGGAAGGGAAGCTTCTGCCCCACCCTCCCCCACTGAGCGCCCTGGATACTTTGCCTACACCCTCCCCCGTGACGTCACCCCTAGCCCTGTCCCAGGGAGCAGGCACAGCCTCTGAGATTCAAACTGGTAGACTCAATGCTGCTGCCGCCACCGGATTGAAAGCGCGCTCCCAGGCTCCGCTGTGGCTCCCTATGCAATCGCACCCCTGATAGCACCCCTGACCTCCAGCGGAACAGCTTCGCCCCCCGCTCTGACCCTCCTCTTCCTCTCCGGTCGCCAGCCGGATTTTGCATTTCTGTGCACCCCAACCCCCAATCAAATTAAATCAAGAAACAGAAAGCACGGCATCCCCCTGGAAGCGGCATCTTCTTTTACTTTGCTCTCCCTCTCTTCCCGAGGATGCTAAACTACTGGTGGACTGCAGAGGAGAAGAGTCCTGTCTTCTCCTGATGTGTGAGTACCCCCAATCCTGAGCTGTCTTTGCCCTTCCACTTCTATCCCCGCCGCCAGTCCCCTGACTCCTGATTTTCCCACCCCCTTTGCGCAGTTTCGCATATATATATA